TGGATGGATGGATGGATGGATGGATGGATGGATGGATTGATGGATGGATGGATGGATGGATGGATGGATCGATGGATGGATGGATGGATGGATGGATAGATGGATCGATGGATGGATGGATCGATGAATCGATGGATCGATGGATGGATGGATCGATGGATTGATGGATTAATGGAGGGATGGATCGATGGATCGATGGATCGATTGATGGATGGATCGATGGATGGATGGATCAATGGATCGATGGATCGATGGATGGATGGATCGATGGATGGTTGAATCGATGGATGGATGGATCAATGGATTGATGGATGGATCGATGGATGGATGGATCGATGGATGGATGGATCGATGGAGGATCAATGAATGGATGGATCGTTGGATGGATGGATCGAGGAATGGATGTATCGATGGATGAATGGATCGATGGATTGATGGATCGATGGATGGATCGATGGATGGATCGATGGATCGATGGATGTATGGATCGATGGATGGATCGATGGATGGATGGATCGATGGATGGATGGATGAATCGATGGATGCATTGATCGATGGATTGATGGATCGATGGATCATTGATCGATGGATCGATGGATCGATGAATCGATGGATGGATCGATTGATGGATGGATGGATGGATCGATGGATGGATAGATCGATGGAATGGATCGATGGATGGTTGGATGGTTGGATGGATGGATCGATGGATCGATGGATGGATCGATGGATGGATCGATGGATGGATGGATGGATCGAAGGATGGATTGATGGATGGATGGATCGATAGATGGATGGATCGATGGATGAATGGGTCGTTGGATGGATTGTTCGATGTATGGATGGATCAATGGATGGATCGATGGATGGATCGATGGATGGATGGATGAATGGATCGATGGATTGATGGATCGATGGATGGATCGATGGATGGATAGATCGATGGATGGATGGATGGATGGATCCATAATTGGATTGATAAATCGATGGATCGATTGATGGATGGATCGATGGATGGATGGATGGATCGATGGATGGATGGATTGATGGATCAATGTATCGATGGATCGATAGATCGATGGATCGATGGATGGATGGATCGATTGATGGATGGATGGATGGATCGATGGATGGATAGATCGATGGAATGGATCGACGGGTGGATGGATGGTTGGATGGATGGATCGATGGATGGATGGATGGATCCATGGATGGATTGATGGATGGATCGATGGATGGATCGATGGATTGATCAATGGATGGATGGATGGATCGATGGAAGGATTGATGGATGGATGGATCGATGGATTGATGGATCGATTGATGGATGGATCGATGGATGGATGGATCGATGGATGGATTGATCGATGTATGGATTGATCAATGGATGGATGGATGGATGGATCAATGGATGGA